TCGAAGCCCCCCTCCCCTGTCAGCATTCCAAGACCACAGTAAGAACAGTCCCATTTCGTCACAGTAGCCTTTTCTCCAGATCTTCCTGGGAGCAGATCAGGGCCAGGACATCAGAGTTACTCTAACTTGTCCTGGTAGAGCATCTCATGAAACCCAGTGATTCTACAAGCTAGGATCCCCAAGGGTGTTCAATGTTTGGGTGAGTTTGGGCCACTAGAGCTAAAGGCCTGACTCTTTCTATATCAAAATTATACAAACCATCTGCTTTGCACAGCTGCTCTAAAATATTTTCAGTTGGTGAAATAGAAGTCATGTCTCTCAGCCTAAAGAACATACATGGCACACCGTGTGACTGCTGCATGAACAATTACATCAGAATAATCACCTTGCCTGTTCTGAAGGTCTGGTATCTGATATGACCAGCCAGAACAACACTCTAGTTACACAAGAGAATCTTCCTGAATCACTGTGCACTGGTGTGGTATTGTAGGGAAATGAAGACATGGAAGTTATCTTGCTGGGCTTTAGAGTGACACTTCAAGGAGATTAATGGGAGATGGCTTTTTTTTTATTTTTTTGCGGGGGGCACAGAGGAAGAGGAAAACATCGAGTATTTATTAAGGGGAAACAGCAATCATTGGAAGAAGGGTAGGAGGCTTTTTGGGCCTAACAAGTTTTGACAATATCCTTGTAAGTATAATAAGTATATTAATTTGGATGATCACAAAAGTACTGCTAAATCAGTTCATATGATATGAATGCTTTAAAATCAGAATGAAAGATAGAGAACAGAGCATTATCATGAGGAGAGCTGTAGCATCACCCTGGCACCTGAAATCTAGGATGAAGCAACACTCTGGCACATCTCCTGGTGCATGGGGTTGCAACACCACTCAACTTTGGCAATTGTTCCCCTTATTTGAAGTTTGTACAGACTATTAATGTTGTAAAAACAATATCTTACATATTCCACCAATGGGCTTTTTGACTAACTACATGGGTGCTTTGGATGTGCCTTGCTACTTAGTTTACAGTTTAGTGCATAAAAGCTGAGTTAAGCATGTCTTTTTTTGGTATGTGTGTTTGTTACTAAGGTGTGAAGTCTCATAACTGCTGTTGCACAGTTTCAGTTAGATAAAATGGACTGGTAAAATGTTGGTTGGTTATTATGGTTATGACACACACAAGATAATCTCCCAAATCTATCTCATGGGTGAGAGAATTAGCAACTTGGGATCACTTCTGCAGGGCTCCTGCACTATAAACTTTAGTACTACAACACTGATCATATCATCAGGAGAGAAAGCCATGCCTGCTGGGCAATGAATTTAGTTTTAGCTCTTTAATAAGGGGCAACATTATCTCTTTAGAGCATCTGAGTAGAAACTTGGTTTCTCTGCCATCTCTTTTATATATTATGTTCTGTACATATGTATTCTATATATTTTTGAACAGTTGAATCCAAAAATGTCCAAAGTGGCAACATATTAATAGATTACCCTGAAATTCTTTGAACAGGGATGGTCTTATCAGCAAAGAAGAAATGATGGCCTACTTTCTGAGGGCTAAATCGCAGCTACAGTGTAAAATGGGACCAGGTTTTATTCATAACTTTCATGAGATGACCTATCTTAAACCAACTTTCTGTGAGCACTGTGCAGGATTTGTAAGTATGTTTTTAGCACTCTCATGCTTCACATATAGACTTAATCAAACTCAGGATATGATGAACTAACACCACAAAGAGGAAATGGGCCCCAAACACTAGTAAGGAAGAATAGTGTCTTCATCCTGGCCTAATATCTCATTACGAGACGCTGAAAATGTTTACTCTGTGCTGTCCATATTTTCTTCCTTTGGCTTTTGGGTGTTTGAGTTTTAAGACTCTCTCTTTGGGAAAGAGAGGTGATGGCCAAGGAAATAAGGGACTGGAGATTCTTGGAGAATCCCTACAGAGAGCTTATCTACATGGGGAGCTAAACCATTCGGAAGTAAAGTGGCCTTAGTTAAAGCTAAAGTGAATTAAGACCACTTCTGAATGAGAGCATCCACACAGGGGTTTAATGAACTTTACATTCACACTTTTAATGCACTTCTTTTAAATTTGCATCTTTAGTTAATTCAGTTTACCTTCTGGTGTAGCCAATCCCAGAGAAAGAGGGTGTGTGGAGCAGAGGATGTGGATGAAGAAGAGGCAGAACTTTTTCATTAAATTGCTCTTGGCACCATAACTCTGCTCAGATTGAGAAGAATGTTAAAAAAAATTCCAATAAATCAATGGCACTTTTAGCAACATGTGTAAAATATGAAAAATGATTTGATTTCGCCAACATAATGTACAAAATGCCATCAATTAACGACAGTCCCATCTTTTAAACAAATTAATTCTTTACTGAAGCATTTCCTGAATAGTAAGCAAACCAAATATTTTTGTGAAACCAATAATAAACTTTCCACCAGTTCTGCTTCAAACAAATCTTAATAAAAGAATGAATCAGTAGGATTTAAATTTTACTTTTAAATTAATGTAAAGTACAATCTGAAATATTATGCTGGATTACCATTTTCCCATTTGAACTTCCATTGAGGAGGTATTATTTTTTCAACATGTAATTGCTTTCCATATCATTCAGTGGCAAAAATCTACTTTCCTTTAGGACTAACATAATATCTGCCCTCTGTTTCCCTTCTTTCTGCATCTTCTTTTCTTTCTCTATCTTTGTGAGTCTTCTCTGTTCTTTCCTCTGTATTTCCTTCCCTGCAGCAATTCCCATCTCCCCATGGTCTTCACTTGCACCTATTCCCACTCTAACTGCTAAAATTATCGGCAGTGGAATAGTTAATGTTGACATTGAAGTGGCCTCATGGGGGTAGAGGAGGTCACATTTATTAGATCTGTCCTTTTCAGGCTATCTGCAGTTGCAGGAAGACATCACTGCATTGGTTACACTTGATTCACTTGAGGGCTAAAAACTCGGTACTTTTTTCAATGGAAGCTGAGATGCTGGGTCACATAAATCTATGGGTCACATAAATACACCAATCAAGATGGATCTGGCCCAGGGACCATATGTTAGACATCTATGAATGAGAGCATTTAATGTTAAGAGATCTATTGCCTGTTCCAAAACTTTTTGTTTTATTTCATTGTGGAGAAAGCAGATGATTTGTTAATGGATCTCGGTATACTGACAAGTAAACTATGGAAGGCTTACAGATTTGTTTTAATTTAAAAACCTCTTGGTTAGAAAGAGGCAATAAATGTATCTTACAGGCTATTAGAGATCTGAAAACCGCTGAAAGCTGTTTGTGCGTATAATGCACCCTTCTAATGTGGAAGATATGCTTTAGTCAAAAGTTATTGGGTTCAGTGGAGGAGTAACTGGATGAAATTCCATGGCCTGTGATATACAGGAGGTCTGACTAGATGAACTAATGGTCTCTTCTGGCCTTAAACTCTATGATCTATTACATTAATCTCCTACAGTGAGACAATAGATATTCCACCAAGCAAACCGGAAGAAAACTTTATCATCTTGAAATGGTCCCCAAGTTCTCTGATCTGCTTTCTTGCCTTTTCCATTGATGTCATTTTAGGAGTAGTTTTTTGGGGCCTGATCATAGAATCATAGAATATTAGGGTTGGAAGAGATCTCAGGGGGTCATCTAGTCCAATCCCCTGCTCAAAGCAAGACCAAAACCAAGTAAATCATCCCAGCCAGGGGGGGGCTTTGTCAAGCCAGGCCTTAAAAACCTCTAAGGATGGAGATTCCACCACCTCCCTAGGTAACCCATTCCAGTGCTTCACCACACTCCTATTGAAATAGTGTTTCCTAATATCCAACCTAGACCTCCCTCACTGCAACTTGAGACCATGGCTTCTCGTTCTTGATCCTGAAATGTGCTAAGATTTCAATAGCAGTCAAACAGTGTGTCTGTGACAGAGCGGAAATTAAACCCAGATCTTCAGTGTCCTATTCACAAACCCATCCTTGTTCTCCAAAGGACTAAACTTTTTACTATTTGTCCTGTTCTGGAATAATTCAGTACAGTTGTATTTTTCTGATTTCTGTTAAATCCAACTGAAGAATAAGAATCTATAAAAGGTGGTATTCTGGATAAAGAGAGAGGGTCAAAGATATCCCTGATGCAAATTCACTGAATCCAATGACATTGTGCCAGAGGTGAAGTTGTTCCAGAGTATGTAATGAGAGCAAAAGAAATTGAACTTAAAAGCTCTTTATACATTACTCCTGCATTTCAGTTCTGTTCATTCGGGGGTAGTGCATAGTTCTGAACTGATGTGGTGATTCAAAGTCAAAATGATGTGCACTGAGAGTGCACAAGGCTGAATTGAAATGACAATTAAAGGTCAGTGCTTGCCAATAAAATATCTATTATTAAACACATGTGAACATTAAATGTCAAGCTAAAATCTCTTGGCATTTGACAATGCTGAACTGATGTGGCTATTACAGGTCAAAGTTGTATCCAGTGTTGTATTAATGCAATGGGGACCGTTCAGACATTTCCACTTAGCTCAGAGCTACCTCAGGTTAGCTCCCAGAAAATCTGTGTCAGACATGTTCAAACTTGCTGGGGTAGAATCTGTAACTTGATTTCCATTGTGTAACCATCATAGTGATGTCAAATTAGGGACTAAAGAAGGTACTATGTTGAATGGGTAGGATAATTTAAAGTCAAAATGATATTCAGTGGTACTGGTCCAAAGATTAATGGAAGCAAATAATTATCAAAAACTATTTCTTGGTATGAAGAATCAGTACCTCTGTTGGTGGGGGAAGAGTAGCCCAGGTAGGTAGTTGGGGAGGAGGGGATAGCTCAGTGGTTTGAGCATTGGCCTGCTAAACCCAGCATTGTGAGTTCAATCGTTGAGGGGGCCCCTAGCGATCTGAGGCAAAATCAGTACTTGGTCCTACCTAGTGAAGGCAGGGGGCTGGACTCCATAACCATTGGTCCCTTCCAGTTCTAGGAGATAGGATAAATAGCTATCAGCAAAAAGGGCTGGCAAAGTCATGTAAAATAGGTAATAGTGTCAGTTCTGGTGTCACTTTCCAAACTAATACAAATGTGTACTATTCTCATTATCTGACCATGTAAATCAAGTTCAAGTTTAGTGTGTAAGTATTAAGAGAAAACAAAGGGAAAGGAGAACTTTAGCAATATTGCAGTGGGTATAAATTATGGACTAAATTCACCACCCACCTTATTTTTGCTGCTGTCCCCTCTATTGTTCTTTTACCACCTTCCTTCTATCTTGGTTGCTCTATTCCACTCACCCATTTTCCTTTCCAAATCCTTCTGTTTTGCCTGCATCCCCTCACTCCTGCTTTTCCATTTTCTGTTTCCTTAATCCCCAAATTTTCCCATACCTCTGCCTCTATGTTTTTTTTCCACATGCACTTGCGCACACATACACGGTTCTCTCCACATACCTGTTTTGGCTCTATCCCCCCACCTCCACTTTTTTAAAATGTGTTTCAGCCCTCCAAACTTGTTTTTTTGGTCCAGTTTGTCAGAATGGCACTCCAGGCTCTTTATACTGAGTTACAATGGAGCTGTATTGCTCCCGCATCATTCTCTCTCCCCCACCCCCTCAATCACTCTCTGAAGAAGCTGGAGCAGCATCAGCCAGGCTGCTGGGGAGTGGGGCAGATTTGTCCTGCTGATGGGATTGCAGATGGTCCCAGGTCCCTCCTCTCAAGCTGGGACAATTGCCTCTGGTTGTTTACCCCCGGGAGCAGCCCTCCTTGTAAATTCCTGTAACCTAAAGGATGTGGTACACAGATAACAGCTTACTGGAATTTTCTACTATCCACTTCCAAATGATCATACCTGTGTTTAAAAACATAAGAATGGCCATACTAGGTCAGACCAAAGGTCCATCTGGCCGAGTATTCTGTCTTCTGACAGTGGCCAGTGTCAGGTGCCCCAGAGGGAATGAAAAGAACAGGTAATCATCAAGTGATCATCCCCTGTCACCCATTCCCAGCTTCTAGCAAACAGAGGTTAGGGACACTTCAGAGCATGGTTCTGCATCCTTGCCCATCCTGGCATAGCCATTGATGGACCTATCCTCCATGAATTTATCTAGAGTCTTACATCTTACATTCAAGCTAACTTTATTCAAATTTAGCAAACCACATGTTGCTTGTTAAGAGCCTAATACTACACCTTCCACTTGTGCACGCTGTCTCATCTACTTCAATGGGACTTCTGGGGTGAGCAAGGACTAATCATGGGAGAGAGCGTTGCAGGGTTGAGCCCTAGAGCCTATTTTCAAGCCAGTTTTGACATTTGTCTTCAGCCATTTTTGGAAAAAAATAAGATGGCCAGAACTGTCTTTTACGGTGGGTGGGTTGGTGACTGCTATAGTAAATGAGAGCTGAATTTTTAATCTGCGTTATTTTATCCTGACATACCTGCACATCACATGCCATCCAAGGAGCCAGAAAATGGCTATATTCGCATTGCATAGCTAGATTACATTAAGCACTCCAAGCAGTGTTATACTTTATGCTGATTCATTTAGGTAAACTGACAAGATGGCAATTTTTCACCCATTTCTGGAAGCAGGCATGTTCTGTGTCTCCTCTCTTATGCTAGCTTCATTGTAGGTAAGAGACGTGAGGGTGGAAGCCAGTCTAGGTTTATCACAACTGGAGGGGGAGTTCTATCTAACAGGAAGGGTGTTGAGAGCAGTTATATCCTGTTTGTGCTTTTGTAGCTATGGGTATTTCCTTCATTTATGACCTTGTTTTCCTTCCAGCTTTCTTTTCTGATTCCTTGACGTTCTTTTGTCTTTCATTACAGCTCTGGGGTATAATCAAACAAGGATACAAATGTAAAGGTAAATACATAATGCATGGATGTTGTTTTCAAGACATAGGTATTATGATGTTTAGCACAAACAAGTCAGACTCATATTTTTGGCAAAAACATTCTGTTCATCCAAATTTTGATTTGTCATTTGCAACAAAATTCTCAGTAATCTGTGAAGTTGTACTGTTATAAGACACCAGCTGCATGCTCATACACTACAAGCCAGAAATCCAGTATGATCTCTGGTTCCACAAGGAGGTAGCTCAGTGCTAGTGATTAGAATTTATATTGGTAAAACTAACTCACTCCATTGAAGTAGAGAGAAATCCTGAAGTGTTTTGGCATTTTGATTTGGCCCTGAAGCTCAGGAGATCTATGTGTGTTGGCAATGCTCTGTCTTCCTCCTGTCTGTCTGTTGGATAAGCCTACTAGCCTCAAAATGCAATAGCAAGAATGAGCTCCTTGCAAGACAGATAGTCAAGTTTTTAATTCCTAGAATACCTGATAGATTGAGATCTCATTTCCAGGTTTCTTCCCCCTCCAATAAAAATTTCATTTAGAAAAACCACACGACCTGCAACTCTTGTAGTCCTGCCATTTGAATACTTTCTGCAAACTTTTTCCTTAATTGTTCAATCAGCCTGTATTTTTCATGAAGTACAGGTCTACTCCAGTAAGAGACATGGAAAACAGCATTGTGGATCCATGATTCTTGCACTTTGGTGATTTCCAGGGCTCACTTTGGTGCTGGATGGTCCTAGATACATGCAGGCTCCTTCTCTTTGGAGACACTCATTGCCTCCTTGGACTTCCCAGGGACAAGTAACTTATGACCTTTTTTTTTCAAGGTGCAACATACTCCCATTCCTGTTGGCCTGTATTTGAGGGGAACATGATGGCTCTGTCCATTCTCCATCTCTCCCTGCCCACTATTGCTCAGTTGCACCTGGGGGAGGCCTCCATGGCACAGACCATATGCTCCCAGGAGCCCCATGGCAGCAACTGTGGCTAGCCACTGTTTGGTCATGCAAGGGACTGGATCTTTACTGCCTTCTGTTCCCATGTGCAACAGCACAAGGGCAAGCAGCAATACAAACCTTTATTAATAAAAAGATGGGTAGGCAGGGCTTATAATTCCAGCCCTGAAAACTCAACTTGGGATCTGAAAGCCAAGCTGACTTCTCTTCTGTTCACGTGTCATCACCCATACAGTGGCCCAATTGAGATGTAGTTAAAGCAGTGTGGTCTGGTGATTAGAGCACTGGAGTGGGACTCAGGACACCTGGGTGACCATGGGCAAGACACTTCACATCTTTATGACTCATTTTACAGTTGGGGCAATGAGTCATAAAGATGTGAAGTGTCTTGCCCATGGTCACCCAGGTGATTCTGACCTCTTTTGTAAAGTGCTTTGAGGCCTACTGATAAGTGCTGCATAAGAGCCAGGTGGTGTTTATTGTTGTTTTGTTTATTAACATGCAATTGAAATGTGCTCCTCTGCAGAGCCCGGGTGACAGGTAATGATGCATGACCGTGAGAGAGTTCAGTTTCACTTTCAGGTCCTAGTTGAGTTTGCAGGGCAGCAATTTCAAAAACCACCTGTCCCTTGTGAGCACCTGCTGCTCCATGAACCATTACAAATGGGTTCTTCCTCCTCATCTTCCAAGCCACAGTCTCCTTTTTCCATTTTTAAGCTTACTGACCTTGTGCCATCAGGGGGAATTGACTATTCAGATGACAACTTACATCCCCCCCAGTTCCCCAGCCAATTGTCACAGCCAAGAAGATAATTATGAAAGTAACAATGTGTCCAAAACGTGCAGATTTAGAATATAAATAGGGCTTCTGTTTTGGGGGGGGGGGTTATTTATTTGAGGGGGGGGTTATTTGTAGCAATTTTTGAGTTTTATGTAGCTGTCCAAAAATCAGGGATTTTCGGGGCCTTCTCTTTGTATGTATTGCAATGAGTAATGTATATTATATACGTTACACATTACCGTAGTATACAGTATATACTGTCATGAGTAATCTCTTTGTAATGTTTCCTAGCATACGTGAACATGGTGATGTTTGAAACAGCACTAAGCTAAAATCTACTAGGGAACTTTTATTGCACACCACCAGGGTCTGCACAGACCCATGAATATGCAATATGTTAGTGCGCTTTAGAAATCACACTACCATAGTCCACATTATTGCTACATGGTGACAAATCCTTTGATACAAGTAACCGTATTTGATGGTTTTTCTAGTGTTTCATTGGATAAATGCTGATTTCTTTTAATTGGTGGGTATTTCATCAGTGCTTATTAGTTAAACCCAATATTCAGAAGCCCTAAACATAAATAGAAGCTCCTTGAAATACCCAGTGTTTGCCACACCAGACAAAAGACCCAACGTATCCACCATTTTGGAGGTTGGTCCAGTGGAGCAGATTCTTTGAAGATGGTGACCTGCTCAGATCTGCCTTTAGCCTCAGTGCACTTTCTGGTGCCATTAAAAAAAAACCCAAAAACCCCACACCTTGATTGACTTATTCGTGCTAACGGCTAATTGTCCTGGAAACCAACCATTTGGTAACCCACAAATTTCCCTTGCTTTTTGTTTTCTCCAAATCTTTTTGATCAGATGTTTGTATGTTTGTTCATGGCCCTTAGAGATTACCAGACACTACAACTAACTCTCAATGATTTGGCAATTTTTTTTTTAACAGATTGTGGTGCCAACTGCCATAAGCAGTGCAGAGACCTGCTTGTGCTGGCATGCAGGAAGTTTGCCAGAGGTACCTCGATGGGCAGTAATCATGGTTCTCTGCCTAACAGTCCGTCTCTGCCTCCAGGTAAAAGTAGCCTTTATTACTAATTTACACTCATTTTGAATGCTTTTTGACAGCACCCAACATCCAAACTGCGTTAGCTCTAATTTAATTGTTATATCTGCACACAGAGCAGACTCTTGGGAGCCTAAAGGTATTCCCATAATTCATCAGCACATCCTATTGTAGTTCCCAGCTACATTAAGACCTGTTGTATTCTTCAAGGACATAATTACAGTCCTCACAGACAGGACTCCTAATAACAGTGCTTCTGGGGCCTTTGAAGGAGCGAATGCTGGAGCAACAGCTCCATTGCCATTTGAAAGGTTGCAGCTTGTATTATACTTTTTTAAAATTTAAATAATAAAAATATACCTATGCAAGCTCTAGACACCCTAACATGTAAGTAATAATACAGTAAAATTCACTCCTCCTGGTAGCAGGCTGGCTCTGCTGTCAGTAGTTGGGGAAAGTAGTGACACTACTCCAGCCTTACCCAATCCTTTACTTCCCTTTGCACCCTCTCTCCCCATTCGCATGTTGCAAGGCCAGTGGCAGTCCCAAAATGGAGTATGGACATTGCAGATAGGGTCCGGGAGTCCTATCTGTACCACCTCCTTCTTACTGGAGCTGCTCTGGGGCCCAGAGGCAGGGCCGGTGCAAGGAAGTTTCGCGCCCTAGGCGAAACTTCCACCTTGCGCCCCTCCCCCTGCCCTGAGGCGCCCCCTCCCCCCCCACGGCAGCTCCCCACCCCAGCTCACCTCTGCTCTGCCTCCTCTTCGAACATGCTGCCCCCGCTCTAATTCTCCTCCCCTCCCAGGCTTGTGGCGCCAAACAGCTGATTGGCACTGCAAGCCTGGGAGGCGGGAGAAGTGGAGCAGCCGCTGCACTGGGTGAGGGAGTCTGAGCTGCACGTGTCAGCGCTCCGCCGGCAGCCCAGCCCAGGAACACTGTAAAAAAAATTGGGGGCACCGCTTTTTGGCGCCCCCAAATCTTGGCGCCCTAGGCAACCGCCTAGTTTGCCTTAATGGTAGCACCGGCCCTGCCCAGAGGTGTGTTTCCAAATCATGGTAGAGCTGCCATTCCACCCCAAGAAGAATTTTGGCTGAGTCAGGTAGAACTCCTTCGTGGCTTACTGCTGCAAAGCGACCCCTTCTTCTCCCCCCCTCCCTAACCCTAATTTTGCCTTCTTTTAAAAAAATTCATTTTGTAAAGCCCCATGCAAACCCTTTGCACTATATAATGGCTTGATCATGCCACCCTTACTCACATTGAATAGCAACTTACGCCAAGAAGAGTTCTGCTAAAAAATCAGTGGGGCTACCCAAGGGAGTAAGGTGCTACTGTAAGGGTGGAAGAATCAAATCCTAAATGTTAAATGAATTAGTATGGAGATCCCTGCTGAAAAGATCTTGGAAGTGTTTAGTGATCTTGAAGTTGTATATTGAAAATAAATTATTCCAATCTCTCTTCTGTAGTACAAGATGAAGTATTTGAATTCCCCAGTGTTGCTACAGGGCATCAGGACCTAGATGGCAGAGCAATCACCCTAGTGACCGGCTCTTCTCGAAAGATTTCAGTCCGTCTCCAGCGAGCTACCACCAGCCAAGCAACACAGACGGAACCACTGTGGCATGAACCTGGCTGGAGTGACTCAGGTTCCCATACTTTCCCCAAAATGAAGTCCAAGTTCCATAGCAAAGCTGGAAAGAACAAAGGCTTTGCAAAATGGGAGAATGAAAAACCCAACGTACAGGGCCATGTGGATATTGAGGTAGAGACCACAGAGCATATGTTGGATGAGAATGGAATAGAAACACTTCAAGAAAGACAAGAACCTGAGGTGGGTAATAAAGCATGAGCATGTCTGTTTAAAATCTGCTACTACTCAAGGTGTGCATAAAACTGTTTTATGTGCATTTTAAATGCTGGTTCTTTGCTTACTTTTTTGCTATCACTTAATAAGATTTCACTTGTTAAACACTAAACTATCAAAATATATAAGCATCTATTTTCTATAAACCCAGACTTCGTTGTGTGTCTTATTTTTTAACACTGGGGATGATTTTTTGTGCTTTGGCCAAGTGCACTCTTAGAAGTCAGATGTTCTACTTTCGTGGATTATTTTCCTTCTGAGATATTAAATAAGTAGAATAACCTGTGAGTAATCAGACCATATTCTGTCCTGTTGTGCCAGTGTAAAACAGAGTAACTCACTGGGTTCAATAGAATTTGGACCTGATGGACACTAGTGTACGTGAAAGCAGAACATGGCCAGTTACTGCAAGGAGCAGTAAAAAAGATTATATCCTAGCACAGCTGGTCAGTAATGGCAGTTGAACTCTGAGGTGTAAAGAGTGCTTGTTTTTTGGTTACAGGATAGCTGATCGCTTGCCCTGAAAGATGGAGGACAATTAAGATGGCCATTAGAACACAGCAAGATGTGGAATTCGGTAGACCACTCTTTGGCTATGGGAATGAATTCCTGTACCTCATGTTTAAACCTTATGAATCCAGCAGACCTTCCTGGTATCTTATTTAATAGGATGTTAGAGTCAAAATGCACTATTTATTTTCTCACAAGTAAGTCATCTGGTGAACATTGCTTAGACAGAGCACAACAGTGTGTTATGTGACTCAGTCTTCTGGTCTATGATTTTTTTATAGCAATATGCCCACAGGTGGAAACTGTCTCTACACCCAATCCTACAGTTCTACAAACCAATGAGGATGGATTTTATCTTCTTTGAAAGCATCACATCAGCTCATTGTCTCTATACATGGCAAAGGTGATAAGGATGGCATCTGAGTACCCAAGTTTATTTGATAAAGCTCCTTATTCAGATGCTCATAATGGTCTTTTATTTGGAAAGAACTGAGTTTATGTTCGTTGCTAAATCTCAAACAGGAGACTTTGAAAATGTCAAAATTAAAAATCCTCCTCTAGGATGCATTCCTTTGCACACCGTTTTTCAAACTTTTAAGATGTTTACATTGTTCTCATTAAACCTAAGCGTATTGATGTGCAGCACATGTTTATAATACAGGGCCATATGAGAAGGGTCTTTCAAACATACAACATGTGTCAAAGGACTGTAGGAATTTCAGGACAAATACCATTATTCATATGTCTGGTTATACAATAAATGGACAGATGCCCTTTCCCCCAGCACTGATTATGGTAAAATTAACATGTAATAAACATTTTAGTTTTACTTTTTTTTAATGTCCTTCTTTTAATCAAACTGAAAATATCTAAATAAAATTTAACACTAGATTTAATTAACAGCAACCTTGAATTTAGGAAATTCACTGTCTCTGTGTCAACTTGATCATAGTCAATGTCCCTCACGATCTGGTACTTGGACCTGTACCATGAACACACGTGTGTATTGATTTACTAGTTTGGGCCCAAATAACTTGTGAGCACAAGTCCTATTAAAATAAAAACCTCAAAGGGCTTATGTTTTTAAATCACTTGGGCACTTTGGAAAATCCCACCCTTAAATTTTCACAACTCAAATTGACAGTCTGGTTTGGATTAACTCAGGTTTACACGTGATGGTAGAAGAGAAAAAAACAACCAGAAAGACGCTATCTCCAAGATATCCTGAGGACCTGAGCTAGCTAAGGGTTTTGGCTTGAGAGGTGTGATCCCTTCATTAGAATCTCAGCATCTCTCAAGATCAGGCAACTATTTGTGTAAACTAACTGAACCATAAATCAGCCTCCAAGGGACTCCTCTTGTGATTGCAAGTCTCTAAATGAAGTTTGTGGTTACAGGCTCCCTTGTCTGGTTCACACCCTGTAACCTGCATGTTTGTCCTGCTTGGAAATCAGTAACTGAAGCTTGTAATAAAGCTGTGACCATAATTAAAATAGGAGCAGGAGGAGCTCTTGCTGCACCATTTTAGGAGGAGGAAGAGCTGTGGGAGAATACTGAGTTCCCAAGCCAGGTTGAGGAAGGGGACCTATGTCCTTCTTGTGTTAACCTCAGTGTGTGACACACACAAGTGCCAATAAGTATTGGTCTAGATTTCCTGACCTGTGTCACATGACACCACATGATGGGATCAGTACACACAGCTTCCACATACACAACAAAAACTATCTGGTAGAGGATTTTAATGTAGTACATTGGTTATGATGTGAAATATGGAATTAACCTGAATTGCTCCTATTAACACTTCTTAAATGAAATGTAGATAACTGACTACATTCATTTAGGAATGAAAAGTAAATACCCTAAACTCACAACATGGATATTTTGGGAATATGTTGGCAGCCTGGTTTGGTTTACTATAAATTAGGCAGAAATGGATACAGTTAAGATTAAATGAACAGCCAAACCGGTTAGAATGCACACTTGTCCTTCTGTGTAACTTCTAGAGCACATGCTGAGCCCCAGTGCAGTTGTGCAAATGTTTACTAGCTGCAGCATCTTGCTCAAATTCACAGTCTCTCATTTTACCTGTTTTTTTTCCTCATCACAAATCCAAAAATGTGTGCTTGGAGACACTTACAGGTCCCGAAAGCATTTCTCTGATCTGTCAACTAAGCAACTACAACAATCTTTCCTCCAGACTTTTAGCAGTTGATGTCTCATTATCCACTAGAACTATAAATTTAATCATTTAAAAGCTGGAATTCAACATTTTCCAATGCTGTGAAGCATTAGTTTATAACAATTGTATGGAGCAAGACACTAGTTCTTAACTGTTAGACTTCATCTTTGGTCTACTAATGCTTTTTTGGTATTGGTCCAGTATTGGATCTCTTAGTTTCAAGTGTTCCATCGTTATTTAACAGTGTCCTAAAACCTATTCTCACTTTACCAAACCTGCAGAATTGATTCTTGTTGAGAAATTGAGGGAGTTTTTGAAATCCTATAATCTGTCTGTGCTGGAGAGTGGCATCTAGATTTTCTTCTGCACAACCCAAGCTAGTGCATCTGGGCCATGTGGAAGGAGATCTGATTCTTGCTATGAGGAAACTTCAATGGATCTGGCAGATCAAATTGAGCAGAATCAGGGCAGCCTCTCTGGGGCCAAAGTAGCACTGACAAAGCAAGAGCGAACAAATCATCTTGCCTGAGTGAGCTTCATCCAGTATGGGAGGCCCTGAATGCATAAGATGCAACCACTGAGCAGATGGGTTTATGACTCTCATGGTTCATGAAGGCCAATGACAAATGCCAGGATTCTTTAGTGATGGAGATTCTTAGTGCTGTGGAGTGCGGGCAACCCTTAAAAGCACCACAACATTGCATGGCTATGGTCCCAATGATTTTCATGAAACATGTACTCTGTTCACTAGGTTTGCCACCTCCAAGATGCAGGAAAAAATGGCCACTGGCCAAGCCCTCCATCCCAATCCTCAGGTGAGACTCCTTACCATCCCCTCCCAGGAGCCTCTGCCTCCCACCTTGCTCCTTACTCCTCTCTGCTGGTAACCCTGGAGTTTGTTCTACTGCCTCGTTGCTGAGGTTTTGGTAGGTTGACAGCCCAGAATCATGTGCTGGCTGCACTCCCAGCCACATGATTTGTGCTGTAGTTAGAAGATTGATGCATGGCGCTGCATGCACACAGCTTACAGGAGAAAAATCCCAAGTGAAAAAACAAACCCTGGCACATTAAATCTTTCCACTGGCAAGGCAGTACAAAAACTGGCCAGGCTGATTAAAAAAAAGCCATGTGGCAACCCTACTCTGAGCAAAAGCTGTGTCCTCCCAGGTGCAAGCCCTGAAACCTCAGCCTGGGCTTGGAGAGTGAAGTTAGGCTCACTCCCATTTCGCACATCAGTAAATGAAAGTCCTGCAACCCTTCAGGGACAACTGTGCCATTACAGAGGCTGCACAAGAGTAACTGACTGGCATTTAGTGACTAATGCAACTGGTGATGGACAAACAGGAACAGAATCCAGCGCACTCTGTCCCTCAGCTTTCTTGGCTCTTCAGGGCTAAGAGGAGTGTAAAACAATGAAAACTTATTTTGGCCACTCATGCAGGCAGATGGGTCTCGGAATACACCCAGGAAAGAGATCTGTTGAGTAAGAAGGTACCATTTTTACACAGTCACTTTTCAGAGTAGAACAGCCCATTACTCATGCTGTGAGCTAGCCCTTGCTCTAAACAAACTATTGCTGGCCATTGCTTAGTCTAACCTACCATTTCTGGAGATGCTGACAGAAAATCTGATCCTACAGTTCCTTTGATTAAACAGGCCTCAATCTTGCAAATATGTCATCTACATGCTTAACTTTACTCATTGGAGTAGGCCCATTGAGTTCAATGGGAGCTACTTCCATGTGTAAAGTTACTTATGAGCGAAAGTCTTTGCAGGAGAGGGGCCTAAGTTGGTGATAATGAGAGAAGATTATAGAGCAGCTAACTGGAGAATAGTTCTCTTGTAACAAATTGTTCCTTGAGTGTCCCAGGCGTATTCCCACTCATGAGATTTGCTGGTGGGTGCAGCTCAGATGGTGGAACCTTCTCAGAGCAGTGCCCGGAGCACTCATGTGCCCCTTCCACACATCCCCTCACCGTTCCTGAGTGTTCTGAGAGCAAGGCTATAAAAGGGGGTGTGGCACCCTCAGTTCCTTCCAACTGCAGCAGCAGATGGAGGTGAGCCTCTGCAGATCCATCAGACCCAGATCCTTCTCATTAAAAGAAGTCACTTAATGTAACTTTAGTGTGTGTTAATATAATGTTAAGCTTGCTTAGTTGTTCTTGAGATTAAACTAGTTAAAACTGGTTCTGACTGGCTTTACAAAGTACACCTCTTGTCCAGCGGTCTCCCCAGAATCTGTTGCCTGTACCAGATGCTTGGTCTGCCTTGGAGAGAATCACTCTCATTCCAGGTGTTCTATCTGCAGCATGTTTACCCGAAAGGTGCACAAGGAGCACTCAGAACAGGCGGCAAGCCTTATTACTGCAAGAAGTTCTGTCTGCAACAGCTCCCAGATCTGACTCCATTTAAGGGGTCTTTGTCTAAGGTGAAAAGACTAGTGAGTGTCTGCTCTTGACACCTCAGGGGCTAAGATGAAGAGAGCTATACAAAAGATTCCCATATCTGCCCCAGCATCAGGATCCAAGACCTCGGGGCAGTCAGTTCCCAAGTTATTGGATTCAACCCCAAAGTGCTCAGAGACTCCCTCGGTGCCGATCTCTGAAATCAGAGCCAAACTGCATAAAAAAACCTTTGGATAAAGCTCCTGTTAGCAGAGCTAAATCACATTCAGGAGACTCCTCAGATCTGGATCCAAGAACATCAGATCCTAAATCCAAGCCTAAGATTCCAGTTCAGGGTAAATCCCTGCCTAAGAGTCATCCCCCAGTTCTGAAGATTGCATTGGATCCGAAGATCATTCCAGAGCCAGCAGTCATCTCTATATCACCCTGGTACTCTGTACCAACCTTTACTGTGGTGCTGCAAGTGCACCATACAGATCCACAGTTGAATCCATTGCTGGATCCACAAAGGACAAAAATTATTTCTTTCCCCTAAAGAGGATAAAAGGAAGGTTCGTGGTAAGTATCCTCCTCAGAAAATACCAGGCAGTGATGTTAGGTTATCAATATCACTAATGTGGAAAAAGGTATCCATGTTTGCCAAAGAGCAAAGTTGCTGGCCAATGCCTTGGTAATGGAGGGTCAGACAGTAGCTAACCATATGCTTAGAGCTTCTTTTCGTGCGTCAGATTCAGCACTGTGTGAGCAATTGCTCCTCTATCATGCTACTATCAGACATGTTTGGCTGAGATTTTCTACTTTTCCACCTGAAACCAAATGGAAGGTAAAAGACCTTCCCTTCAAAGGTGATGGGATATTTAGTAATCAGACCAATAAGACACTGGAAAAGATGAAGCCCAAGAGGTTGACAGCAAGATCTCTGGGTATCTATCATCCTCCAAGGAGAAGGATCTCGGAACTTGGCTTCAAGTGCCATAGGCAGTCCTAACACCTTCTTCTTTGTAGTCATCTTGTTCACAAAGATGTCATTTTCAACACCAGCAGCCTCCTCATACATAACTGGAGTAAAGGAGGACACCTTTTAAGCCTCGAATGAAGGGGAAGCAGCCTTCAATTTTGACTTTAGATTCAACCATCAAGCCTCAAGTTTGATGTAAGATCAGGAGCTTCGAACCAATCTGCACCTTCATTCCTACCTTTTGGAAATGTCAACACTTGGAATTCACATTGGACAAATGGATTCTGGAGATCATAGAAAATGGTTATGCCATTCAATTAGATTTCCTTTTTCTTCCCATCCCTATTCAGGGACTCCTCTCGTGAGACGATGTTAAGAGCAGAGGGTCACATCCTGTTGGAAGCAGGAGTCCTAGAGGACGTGCCAAGGGAATTCAGAGGTTAAAAGATTCTACTCATATTTTCTGATATGGATGAAAGATAGAAAGCTTTGTCCAAAATTAGATTGATGGAATCTCAGCTCCTTTAATCAGAAAATTCTGTTTCCACATGTTGACACTAATATCCATCATACCCTCCCCACCTACCCTAGATTGGCTTGCAGGTCTATCTAGAAGATGCATACTTCCATATCTCTGTCAAGTACCAGCACTATCGTTGTTTCCTGATTGGTATAAAGTACAAAGTCTTACCTTTTGGTCTATCTACTCCCCTATGTGTTTACAAAGTACCTATCCAAAGTAGAAGCTCATTTAAGATGCCAGGGTATATTTGTCTATCCTTATTTAAATTGCTAGCTGATCAAAGCCTCAGAAAAATGGCTTTCCCAAGGACATATTTTACACATGTTCCCTCTTCAAGGGGTTAGGACTCAAGATGAACAAGTAAAAATCTCTTCTGCTACCTATAGAAAGGATTTCTTTGAAAGGAGCAGTTATCTATTTCTGTAAAGCAGAACCTTTCTGCCAGAGGAAAGATTTCTGAAGTTTCAATCCACCACAGAGATGCTTCATCAAAATCCTACTCAGAAAGCGATCTTCTTTCTGGGTCTCATGGCTTCAGCCACTTTTGTCACACCTTAGGCTCTGCTCAGGATAAGAACTCTGCAGCACTGGCTGGTGTTAAGTTACAAACCAAGTGCAGATAGCATATTCATATGGCTGACCATTCCAAGAAAAATACTGCTATCCTTGATGTAGTGGATTCAACATTACAACATTCTGAGGAGATAGCTTTCAACCTTCCACCTCCATCAGGAATAATCACCTTGGAGGCCTCCAACCAGGGGTAGGGACTCAGGCAGCATATTTCAACAAATGAGAGTAATGAAAATAAGATAAGCTGGAGCTAGGATAAAAGTGGTTGCCCCAGCATGGCCAGGGCAGCCAAAGTTCTTGAACCTTCCTCACCTCTCCTAGGGAGTCTACAGACCTCTCCTGGTTTCCCCAGACTATGTGTAAACTAGAGACCTTACAGCAGCACAGCTGTACCACTGCTGCACCACTGTAAGGTCTCATGTGTAGCCACTCTATGCCAGCAGGAAAGAGCTCTCCCACCAGCATAATTAAACCAACCCTAATGACCAGCAGTAGCTATGTCAGCAGGAGACCGTCTCCTGCCAACATAGCACTGTCCACACGGGCGCTTTTGTTAATGAAACGTTTGTCGGTCAGGGGTGTGGTTTTTTTACTGCCAAAAGTGCTAGTGTACACATAGCCTTATTAGCTCAACAGGACAGCAAAATTTATCAGCCAGATGTTCCTATCACTACACCTGACTGCATCAGGCTTTCAGACCCTGAAAATTCCTGCTTATTAGAAGGGCAGAAGACATCAATGCTAAAAAATGGTCTGTTAGAAAGTGTTATGATCTCAAGTGGACTAAGTCTGTGAATTGGATAAGTGAGGAACAAGTAGATTCACCACTGGCACCAATTTAGTCTATCCTTGAATACTTAATTGAAGCTTTCAGGTTCTTCTATATCCTCCTTGAAAGTTCAACTAGCTGCCCACCATGGGCTCACAGAAATCAACCTTTGCACATAATACAGTTCAGAAATTTATGAAGGACCTTGCCATTAAGGCTCCAGTACTACCATGGGATCTCAGGTTAGTCCTGTGCAGCTAATGAAGCCTCCCTTTGATCTTAGGGCACACTGTGCTTTGTTCCATCTGACACTTGAAGAAATGAAGGTTCTTGAGATGAACTCTGCATATTCACACACCCCACACACCTTCCCTTCTTCCTCAGAATCTTAATAGCCTCTGGATTGTGAGGGGGCGGTGGAAGAAGCTGAGGCAACCAAAGCACCCTTTTATAACCTCACCTTCAGCAGATTCAGAAACACAAGGAGGTGGGGTAGGAGGGATCAGTGAGCATTCCAGCGTGCACTGCTAGGAACTGGTTCCATTGTCTGAGCTGCACCAAGTGGCACATCCCATGAGTGGAAACAGGGAGAGTCATCTCTAAGAAGGCCAGTCACAGGTAAGTAATCTTAATTTACTGAGTTCATGGCCCTCATTTTCAAGGTGGGTGAGGTAATATTGTTTAAGTGGTCCCCAAACTGTGGGCATGCCCCCCCTTAGGGGGGGCGCGGCAGGCCCAAGCCAAATCCTTCCCAGGGATTGGGGAGGGAGCACCATCGAGCCCCACTCTGCCCCCAGTTCCACTCCAGCCCTGGCCCCAGTCCCAGCTGCCCAGACACTACAAGTCTGGTTACCGGCAGTAACCGGCCCCCGTGGCGGGAAGAGCAGCAGATACTGCTGGAGCCTGGAGGAGAACTCAGGGACAGCTCTAGCGAGAGAGGTACTGGCAGCTCCCCCATCCTGCCCTGAGTGCAGCTCCCCCTCCCTTTCCCCAATCACCCCCCACCCCAGAATGCAGCTCCCCCTCCCCTGTCCTGCCCCACTCACCCCTTCCCGCCCCAGTTCCCAGGGGAGTGCATGCCAGATAAGGGGGGGCACAACTGAAAAAGTTTCAGGACCACTAGTTTAGTGGATCAGCTGAAATAGATACATGGGTAGGTAGCAGTTGGTCAGGATTGTTGTGGATGGCAGTGGTGCCTAAATGTTGGCCTTAAGCACCTAAAGAGGCAGTTAGGTGCCTATGTCCCTTTGTGAATCTAGTGCAAAAACCACCAGTGAAAGGCTGGTGTTGTTACAGGAGGGGATCTTGCTAGTGAGTAAGAACATGAGAACAGCCATACTGGGTCAGACCAATGGTCCAGCTAGCCCATCTTCTGACAGTGGCCAAAATCAAATGCTTCAGAAGGAATGAACAAAACAAGGCAATTATCGGGTTATGGTTGGCTGTGCATTGTGTGGAAAAGTACTTCC